CAGAAAGCCCGCACATTAAACCTAAATGTGATCCAATCACCTAACACATAATATACAGCTGTATACTGAAAACGTATGAGGGCTTCAATGGTTCGAGCTCCGTTTGGAGGTGGTCAGGGATGCAAGTGACCAACTTTAAGGCTGTGAGTGCTTTTGTGATTATTTGCAGGCGAAAAAAGTCCCAAATCTGTAGAGTGTGTCCAGCACAGGAAGAATCTGCTAAACAAACAACTCGGACAAAATTTAGGAAGTGTATGTCCCTATAAGGCTGCACAATTCATCAAAATATTTTAGAAAGTGGAAAATCCCAAATTATAGCATTGCATTCTACTATTATAGCATTACAGTACTGTAGAGATGCAGAAATGCTCTAGCCTACAGATCTTCTTCCCCAGATGTAAGAGCAAATGTCACATCATCATGATTTTAATAGTTTTTCCAGTGAAATTTGTGATGCAAAAATGATCATTCCCATTAATCGTGTATTCAATATGATGTTTGTACCATATCGTGCAGCCGTTGCAATCTTGATCCCTTGCACAAATGTTTTTTCTAAGCAGCAGTCATACGTTCCCAGATACAAATCTAATGTGAGTGTGGAAGCAATGTCTGATCACAAAGAGCAGCATCTGAGATGTATTCTCACTACTGGTATAGACTGCAGGTTGTCTATGGTGGATCTAGATCTAGACAATCTATGACTCACACACACACACACACACACACACACACACACACACACACCCCCCCACCCACACACACACACACTCTGTCTGAAGTACTGTATTTAGTCTGTCTGTCTGAGAGCAGAACCCATGACTCCCTGCTGATGACAGGCCCAAAGTATTTCAGAAAAACTTTCCAGAACACAAACACACGCAGCAGAGAAGCATTCACTACTGTCAGGGTTGATGAACAGTTTGCTGCTGGGTGACAGAGAGAACTCTTTCAACAAGGAATATTTCTGTGGTGTGCCACAATCGTGTGTCACACTCACTGTTGTATGTTCTGCACTTAAAGCATCAGTGTGTAGGATTTAGTGGCTTCTAGGTCTTGTTGGGTCCACTAAAAGTTGGATGGTTTGGACTTTCGGACCAATTACAGGAAGTTATGGTACATAGACGGAAGAAAACCCCCGCCAGAACAAGCAAAAATGAGTCGTGGAAGTACGTGGGGAGAGGAGGGGATTATATGTTTAATTTCAATTTGGTCAGACGAAAACATTAAAAGTCACACTCACAAAAATGCCGACATTACCAAAACATTTTCTGAGCGGATGAAAGAGAGAGGGTATGTATTTTGCACTACGAGAACGTACATTTCTCGCGAGTACTCAGTGCTTCCAGTTGGTGCTGACGTTGTTGCTGTTGGTAGTAATACCATAATAACGCAATCGGGATTTGCTCATTCATTTTCATTCATACGGAAAAGACTACCCTATTCACCAATCAAAAGGAGACGCAATACACGTACATGGTGACAACACGCCGTAGGTATGTCATGGAAAGTTCTTTAGTGCGCTAGCAAAATTACTATGTGAAACCGAAAATAACGGGATCAAATGTATACAATGTAATTAAACACGAACGTTGGTCCGGACCTTGGTCCGGACTTTTAGGTGTGAAAACGCCCTTAGACACAAAAACATGGGAAAATAAGGTCCAAGTTGAAAATAACTGAAAGTTACCTTTTACCTGTTTAAGTTATTTATCATTCTCCAGTTCCAGCTTCTCTAATGTGAAAATTTGAGGCTTTTCTCTGGTTTATGTGACTGTAAATTGAATCTCTTTGGATTCTGGACTGTTGAAGACTTCAACTAGGGCTCTGTGATTGGTCATATGTTAGTCAAATCAATATTAACATACAATCAATTGACAGAAAACTAATGAAACTATGTTGTCCTTTTTTTGAGCAAAAATGGCAAAAAAATAATTGGTTCCAGCTTCTCAAATGTGCATATTTTCTGGTTTTCTTAAGGCGGGGGCACACAGTATGACTGATTATGAATGTGGTTTGGGCATAACGGCTGATGGGACCAAGTTGGACTGGGTCTGTTCCATCCTGGGTTAGTTGTTGTTGACAGTTGGCAAATAAAATCACACAGTGAGTGATATGTGAAGACCATAATCTTAAAGGTCCAGTGTGTAACATTTAGGAGGATCTGTTGTCAGAAATGGAATATAATAATAATAATAATAATAATAATAATAATAAGGTATGTTTTCATTAGTGTATAATCACCTGAATATAGGAATCATTGTGTTTTTGTTATCTTAGAATGAGAAGTCCGCCATGTTTCTACAGTAGCCCAGAACAGACTAACCAAACACTGGAGCTAGATAGGGTCTTTAGCATTTTCTGCAGCCACTGGAGTTTCTCCTACACGCTTTGAAGGTGAGCAGTATTGAGTTCACAGCTAGATGCCACTAAATCCTTCACAATGGTCCTTTGAATCTTCAGATCCAGTCACTGCCAATAATTCTCCCAAAGATTTTTTAAGATGTTTGATATTCGTGTGAAGTAATTTAAATGATTGTGCTAAATGACCGGCTTTACCTGAAGTCAGCTTCGTTTTACAAAGTTCACTTGCCTCCAATTCCCTCCAAAGTCGTACACTCCTCTCCCTCCAGCATCTCCCCAGACTCTGTGCTTTTTCACTCCTTTTTTGGCCTTTTCAGCACAAATGTCACTGCATATAAACAAACCAAGTGGCTGGTTGCCGACCATGTTTGTTGTGGTAGAAGAACATAGTTGGCGTTCTAGCGGGACTTGCAGGGTCATCTACCTCCAGAACTCCAGTCATTACTGACCAGTGGTTATGTGGGTTGTATGGTTGTAAGGTTTATGCTCCTTCCTGACCGACTAAAGACAACGATTCATCGATTAGTTGTCAACTATTAAATTAATTGGCACCTATTTTGATAAATCAATAATTGTTTTTATGGTAGTTTAAAGAAAACCAATTTCTCTGATTTCAGCTTCTTCAATGTGAATATTTTCTGGTTTCATTCGTCCTCTGTGACAGTAAACTGAATATCTATCTATGTGGGTTGTGGACGAAATAAGACATTTGAGGACGTCACCTTGGGCTTTTGGAGACACTGATCGACATTTCTCGCTATTTTCTGACTTTTTTTGGACCAAACAACTAATTAAGAAAATGATCTACAGATGAATCGGTATTTGCAGCCCTACTAAAGAGTAAAACATCTGTGCAAGTTGGAATCAATCTTTATGTGTGGTTTGTCCAGTCTCTGTACATCTGTCCTATGCAAGGGACTGATGGTTTTACAGAACAAGACATGCAATGTTTTGCCTTTTTATAGGTGAAACACTTAATCTTGAAAATAATCTGTGGATTTGTCCATAATAAAAATAGTTGTTTAATAGCTACAGCCCTACTTTGAAGCGAGTCTACATGATCGGATCTCACGTACACAGGACTGGACCCACGCCGAATGCTGGACAATCCTAAAGTCATTAGAAGGCGGGATATGTACTTTACTTTCCCGATCCCCTTAATTTGGAAGGCAGCACTTTCCTCCATGACTCATTATGGTGTCGGCCTGCTGTTTACATGCTAGGCTCCCATTCAGAACTTAATCACCATTTCCTTCCAAATAGGTCACAGTCAAAACAGCCGGTCTGAGGACCAGATGAAGGGATTATCCTTGAAAAATGGCAACCCTCGGCAGTCCGAGATCCCCATGCATGTTCCAATTAGATTCTGTATCCCAGCAGGTGGGTTCTTCTCTGGGAGGGTGCTGCATTTTACTGCATGCCTACGACATGGGAAGGGGTGTGTGTCCAAGTGTGTGTGCCAAGGGGAGAAGGGCTAGTAGAGAAGGCAGGAAAAAACCTTGAGTGACCTATTTCTAGATAGGCTGAACGAGCAGCCCTGTTGCTAGGAAAAGCCAGAGCCAAATATCACATTGAAAGGGCTTTAAAATTAAATTGAGTGGAATTTAAAAACAGTAGCAATATGGATACTAACTGCACCCTGTCTGGCTACACAGCCAATTTTATATCACTTCACAAGCATCAGAGGAAAACACAGCTCCTGTGTGAACAATACAGTGATTCCATGTTCAAATAAAACTGCCATAAACAGGATGTCTGCTATTTAGGAGCATTTTAAGGTCAAATAAACAAGTTTTAGTCAAAAGAAGCAACACATAGAGGCCTTTTTAAAATGGTAAATGGTTAAAACTATAATAATATTTTGAGGGGGGCTTACATCCTTATTCTAGTGTGTCTACCTCCATTAAGATTAATCAGTGACAATTAGACAAATGGGAAGAAATAAAAAGTAATAAAATGCAAAGTTATGCAGCTAATTATTATTAATAATATTATGATTATGTTCATTATACATATACATACTTTTTCTGAATAATAAAACCATAATGTCCCAAAGTGCAAGGTCTTAAAAAGATATTCTACGTAAAATTATATTAAATATTGCATCAGATCCTCACACAGTGTTTTGGGTTTTAGATGAAACTAAATTTGACATTAATCAAATAATCAACTAATCGTTTCAAATAAAATGTCGGAAAAGTTTCCAGAGAGCGGGGTGACATATTCATTACTTCCGACCAACAGCTGAAACCCAAAGATATTCAATTTACTTTCATTTATGATCAAGAAAACCAGCAAATTCGCATTTGGACCAGACTTTCCACTTCAAATAAATAAATAAATAAATAACTATGTATTACAAAACAAATAAATAACACATTTACCCATTAATTTGAGTTGTATAGATTATTTAAAAATACATATATACTTAAAAATAAAACAAAATTCAGTCCAAGCCCGACCTAGGGGCAGTTGCTTTTGTTTATAGCATTTTTGTCTGAAAGTTGACAGAAATGAATCATCATTTTGAAAACGATGAATCATCTCAGCTCCACTTGAGTTGTTTGATCAACAGTCCAACACCCAGATATATATCATTTGTTACAATAATACAGGCAGCATTATGGCAGTAAGCCTACCTTCCAGACTGAAGTCGAGCAGCACATACTCGTACACAGTATCCGTTTTGGACTCCACTTGTGGTCTCTTCAAGGTGGAGTAGATCTTCCCGGGGCTGCTGTCCTCCGGGTCTTCCAGTTTCCGCAAGCCGCAGCCCATGGCCTCTGAGGCGGGGACAGCCGCTCGCTCAGCGCGGTGGGAGCACCGGTGGAGCGGCAGACAGACTGAGCTTCTCTTGTGCTTTCAACTTTAACGGGACCTCTCCATCCCTCCTCCGTCCTCCCCGGTAATCCCTCCGAGAGCTCACAGAGAAGCAGCGGCGAAGGTGGAGCAAGGGTTTCCGAGGAGAGGAGCTCGGTGGACGGTTGTTAGGTGAAGCGCTTGTTTCTTGAAAAAGTGTCCCGCTGGTGTGGCCGCAGGTCTGAAGCGTGGAGAGGAGGAGCGCGCTCTCCCTGGAAAGAAAGTTTCCTCCACAATCAAGCTAGCAGGGATGATACAACTTCCTGTCGGAATGTCAAAATAAGATACTGAACTAAAACACGAATCTAACAGAATATTCGTCCCGTATTTAATGTTTCAGTCCAGTGTTTTGTTCACTTTCTGTGTTTTTAATTATGTTTTTTGTTATTTGTACAGACTCATGATCAGTATCAGAACTACTTGTGACTTCCTCTTTAGAGCTGAAAATAATAAGTCAATAAATCAATTAGTTGACAGAAAATTGATCAAAAAACAATTAACTGTTGAAGTATTTTTTATTCTTAGTGCCAAATATTAACTGGTTCACCTACAATAACATTTTATTTTTGTTTTCATTTTCCCACTTATTTCATATATACTGTTTTCCCCATGTTACACGATTTGTCTTTTACTGTTTAATGTGTGTAGCTATAAATGATAAATATTGCAATCAACTAGGCTACTTTGCATTTTTAAAATTAGAATTCTATTTTTGTTTGATGTATCCAATTATTATTGGCTGCTGAGATTCTGATTAGATTCTGATTATTTTCATCATACAATACTCTCATTTATTGAATTATAGATTGTCCTAATGCTCACAATATGAGAACCACAATGCCCTCTCAAGTTTCTAGAGTCCAGTGGCGCCCTCAGGCTGATTGAGGGGCAGGGGCAAAAAAAGGAAAATGGCACAGAAAGGTGGGATGCATTCATGGTGAAACAGCTGAGTCGGGATTTGTATTAGCACCTTAGACGGCGCTTTATTGATTATGTTTTGTCTACCATAGGGTCCCCTAGTGCCAGAGTCCAAGATATCTTCAGAGCTACATTCCAACAACCTACTGGGATTTTACATTAAACAGACTACAGCAGCAAATCCTCAGATTGTGAGACTGGACCAGCCAGTGTTGGGTATTTTCAACTTAATCAATTATCTTCTGTTGATAAGATTAGGTTAATCTGTTCAACAAAAGAAAATGTTCTTAATTAATTAATTAGCCTATTAATAGGCTACTCTTATCAACAGTGCCTGGCGCCCATGATTACCATCATCCTGCTTAATTTACACTTTTATTTTGAAGTCACATTGGTTTAGTGTTCAGTCTGAAGTAACAGCTGCTCCCTTGATGTGAGGTTTCAGGGGGAGAAAAGTTACAAGAGACAATATAATCAACAGAATCCCTTGTGTTCAGGAATTTATTTACTTAAAGACAGATTTACTAACAGAGGAGATTAGTGAGGAAAATGAAGCCTGAAAACTTCTGGAATTCCAGATCTGGCAGACAGACCATGCACAAGGCGGGACAGCAGTGGCGGGAGGAACAGGAGAGGAGCATCATGGGTCATCTGGAAGCTGTTGCTGCCACCATGAATACCTCATTACTTATGATGATTCCCTTCCGTTTGTAGTCATGCTAGCAGCATTGCTTTTATGACTGTATTGCTGCTCGGTTGGTCGGTCCAGCACTTCAGTCCAGACTAAACATCTCAACAACAGCCTATTTGTTGGATTGACATGAAATATGACATTCATGTTCCCCTCAGGATGAACTGTCATCATTTTGTCTAATAAAATGACAAATCCTAAAGTTCTAAAACAATTATGTAACTGAAAATGTATTGAATAGAAGCTACTTCCACTCATTTACACATAAACACAAGGTTTTATTTATGTATTCTGCTCAGTCGTCTGAACTCAACTGATCGCTCGTGGAACGTGTCCACAGGATCAGTCATTTCCACGCCTGCCATTCACTGTCCATGCGATGTATTCTGGTAGTGCTGCGCGTGTTTTGAAAGATGGGCCGTCATGTTGGCTGCTCCTTATTTGCATAAAGTAGAGGTCTGATGGTAAGTGTCCATATGAGCATTTTTCGATGTCATGGTCATGCCGCTTCCCAGCATTGGATGCTTGAAGTCATATTGAGCAACAAAAGTTAAAAAAAAACCTCCTACAACCACGCAAACATTTCCTGACTGCACCTGATTGGAGATTTCAACGGTTGTAGGATGGTGTAGCTTTTTGTTGGTCAATACGACTACAAGCATGCAATGCTAGGGATGATAATAAAATGCCATAAATCATCTTGGGGGAAAAAAATTTGATATTTACTTACCCATGTCCCATCTGCTAACATGGAGCCAGCTAGCTTTATGATCTATACTGCAGTCAGCCATAAGGGTGTGATCATGATGTTCTGACTTCACTTGGAGGACTGTCATGTCCTCCGTCTTTATATATGTCGATAATCAACATTTATTCGCACTGTTTGTGAACTTTCTCCCTCTTACGTTCAGTGCATCTATGTGCTGTTTTTAACTTAGAGTTATCAAGCTAGCAGCACAAAATGAGCAAATCTGTAGTTTCTTCAAGTATTAAAGTATCGGACCGCCCTGTTACTTTAGTTAGCAAGCTAATGCTACATTGATGTGGTCTCCCCCTAAGTTGTAATGAGATCTGCGCCCTTGACTACTCAGAGCCAGCTCTGAATATGAACACTCACAAGAGGGGGAGCTGATTTCCCCAAAACTGTAGTTATATGCACTAATTTTCAAGCCAGTTTAGTAAATAAAATACTAAAATCTGTGTATCATTTGGGAAAAAGATGATAGTTTCCACGAAAAATACCCTACTGCCTACATCCTATTTTATATTGAATTGTTCTCCAACTGTCTTCATCATTCTGTTTGATATTATTTGTAAGTAGCTAGGGTAGAAATTGTATTATTTTTGTTTAACTATGCTGGAATTCACAATGTTCAGCTTTATGTCCATAGTCCATAGAGGTGACAGGACTGAATGAAACGAGACACACACAAGACAACAACCCCTCATGACAATATAGAGCCTATAGATGGGGATATTTCCCCAGTAATGGAACTTTTGCTCAATTGAGTTCCAGTCCAGTCAGAGGCCAAGGGAAAATGACACAAAAAGCCTAAGGGATTTTCTTTTGAGCAAACATTCGGGGCTGGTAGCCAAGAAGCCACCCCCCCCAACCCCCCCAACCCCACTCCACCACACTCACTGAGAACAATGATGCACTACAGTCTCACTAGTCCTCTGCCTGTCCCCTCCTCTGTACTGCTGCCATCTGCCCTCTCTTCCCTCCACTGACAGCAGGAGTGAGTAATTCAATCACTGACCGTTTCTCAGTGTGGTCACTGTAGACTGTGAGGATTTACACTTCTGACTTGTGGTTTGGTAACTTAAGCCATTCCTACTGCATTGTTCCTCTGACTGTTCCCATGTTATCTAATGAATGTATAATGACATCCGGACCCTCACTGAGGGGCCACAGGATATGTGGCATCAAGCAGTAAGGACGGGCCAGTGACCTCGCACACACACACACCTTAACACTGGCCTTTGACCTCTGTCACTCACTGATTTCCACTTAAGAGCATTAAGAGTACAGAGTTGAAGACTGATGCACAGCAGGCGGCATACTGTCTGAAGTCCCTCATTAGTGAGTTTAACAGCCACAACCAGATCCCAGGTCTTTCACACCGGAACTTCTCTGCATGTTTACTTCATCAACACAAGAACTTGCAGTTGAGTCTATGGGCCTAATGCAGGAAGCCATATATACAAACAAACATTGTCTAATTTTGTTTGTATCCATTCATTATTTTTGCTCTTCTCTAAGGAAAGACAAAATTTTGTCGAGGGCACTCGTACCAAGATAAGAAATAAAACTTTCACAGTCCACAAATTGTTGTCTAATGCAAGATAAGTTTTCAACTTGAGGGAAATAAAAACTATGAATACTGTGTACTATTACTATAAGTTATTATAATGATTGAATTATTAAATTTGTAGGGTAAAGAAATACTATTGGTCTATTGATCCCCAGTAAAAGTATAAAAACCCTTGGATGATATTGTGTGAATCAGACTCTAAATGGCATCACTATTAGATGCTTTGGCCTTCCAGAATATTACAGAAAATTAAGAGGGTATGAAGTACAAACTGATTGATTTGTTAATTGTGGACACATTTCATCATCTGTGAGAATAAACATTCTATGAGGGTAAATATAACATTCACAAATCATTAAACTAGAAATAAGTTTTAAATTGCCTTTTCTTATGTTGGCTAAAATCACAGATTTGTCTCAAAGGGAATTACAGTTTGAACATATCCTTAAATCTATTTGGATTTAGAGAGAACTCCACTTAATGGGCACAGCCATAGCTGTCATCTAGAGAGAAAATTGATTGTTGGGTCTCATTATCAGGGTCTCAAATACAGATGCTTTGGGACTCTGGGAATGAGACTCAACAAGTTACTACCTTCAAGCTACCAACCCAGAGTGTCTTTATATCTTTCTCAGCTCTGATTAGTTATTTTCGTTCAGGCCTGGTGGATTCCGACAAATGTCATTAGGGCCACTAGGAGGAGCCAGAGGAAGCTGATTGTTTCACAGATGATCTGCCTCAGGTACTACTGTTAAGACACAAAATTATTTTTTATAAAGGTTACCTACTGCAGCTTCAATATACTAAAAAATCTTCTTTTGTAACTTTTCAATACAGTATTACTTAAGCTTAAGGGTTATTAATTATATATTATTAATCCAATTAACAGCATGTAATTTTTGCATTCATCTTTTTTGTATAAAGGTAGAAGTTCCTGAGCCTGTCCTGCTGACCTGGCCCGTGCACATCCCATGCCAGTTTGAGATGTTTCCAGGCTGTTTCCCTCCCCCGCCCCCTCAGGCTCAGAGTGCTGAGTTCACCGATCAGTTTCACAGGGTTGAATGCTGAGCTGAAATCAACAAACAGCATTGTGATGTAGGTGTTGTTTTTCTCAAGATGCGTATCATCATCATTTCCTCCCCTATGCATACAGATACTGTAACTAAACTCCTCATTTCTGCAACATTTGTACGCATTTCTCATGCAAACACACACACACACAGACACACACACACACACATACACACTGATAAGGGATCTAAAGTGAGAGTGGCAGCTGAGGCTCTGAGCCA